TCCTCGGACGCACGTGAGTTCCGTCCCCCCAACTACGGGGGTGAAGGGAAAGTGAGACGATTAGCTTTCATATCAGTCCATATTCGACTAACCATGATGATTTCTGTTATTGCGGCTGTTAGGCGCAAAACGAACTGATGATCTATCGAACTTTGGAATTTAGTAGAGAAGGTGGAAGAGTTACTCTAAAATCCTCACTATATATAAATCACAAATGTCCGTTTTTCTGTTTGTCTGTATGTCTGTATGTTTGTATGTCTGTTTCACTGTAACTATCTTATACGGCGTCCTTTGGAAATCAAATGGAACAGCTCAGACAGGTTGAAACAATTGGGGAATGAGCCGAACTACTTGGGCGCACGTGATCTAAGCTCGGCTCCGCCCCTTAAGGGCTGGGCTTGCGCGAATAGAGTAGTTCACCGGAAATCTGTAACTCCTTTGCTCCTGAGCCTAGAGTATTCAAATTTGGCAGAGATGTTGGTGGCGAGATGGGAAAACTGACGGTAGGTGGCAGATGCAGACTCCGCCCACCGGGGGCGGGGCTTCCTCAAAAACAGTCAAATTGGACCTAGGACGTTCGAATTTGGCAGAGATGTAGGTGGCAAGATGGGAAAACTAATGGTAGGTGACAGATTCCGCCCACTGGAGACGGGGCTTCCTCAAAAATAGTTAAGATGGACCTAATTTGAATTTTTAAGAAGAGTAGGTACATTGATATGGACCGCTTATGAAACTTTGTTCACCTCTTGCTTACGACCGCTACCCAGCGAAGCATGCGATTCAATGAAGGATCACGGTTTCTCTCTGCTTTGATATCATTCATGGCAAAACTTATTCGACCGCTAACAATATTAGATTCTTACTTAATGATGTATCAGTAGGTAAAAGGAGCTACATTCATAAAGATAGTTGATAATGGTATCATTACGACTCGACAACATTTTTGAGTACCATTCAAGGGTTTGGATGCCTACCAGTTGAGTCTTCAATGGGTGATTTTTTGAAAATCAACAACGACAGATCGAGACAGATATTTTTAAAATCAGCAGCGACAAATCGAGACAGACAAACTTCAATCAAAGGCATAGGCATCGGCACTGAATGTCGTTTTTTCGTATTTCGAATATCGTTTGCATGCCCTATTGTTTTTCTATCGAACTTCATGTTCCGAAGAGTATTATTCGTTTTAAAGAAGGAGTGTCCTGTTTGCCGTTTATCACGACTCTATCATGGGAAGGAGGGCCCGGCCTTAGTCGGGCGGTCCCACTGTCTCTATATATAAAGCGGTAACTTTGTGTGTCTGTTTGTATGTTTTTATGCCCGTTTGTGCGTCCTTCCGAAGAGTGACGGTACAGAGCGGAATGTATCAGAGAGCATCCTCCGAAATCTGCAGAATTTCTGCAGACAATACATTTTACTTCACGGCATAACCTCATTTGAATGCCCAGATTTTCACCCGTCACATATACGACGCATGAAAAAGGGGCTCTGGGCAAGGACGCGCACCGGATTCCTTGCAGCTAGGGGTTACGTGGTGCATTTTTGAAAATGGCGCGCAAACAATATCGCGCTCCAATGTCAGAGGAATAGAAGGGAAATAACTGAAGCCGCTACGCGACCGCGCGCTGGCGGCGATAGATGCTCTCCGATGCGTTCCGCTCTGTAGCACCACTCCCTTCCGAAAGTCACGTAGGCACGACGAAGGGGCGAATGTCACGTGAGCGCGGTGAGGAAGCAGTCATGAAATGGGAAGTCAATCGATACTGTTTATATTGGTCCTCGTAGGTAAGCGGTAGTGGGCATGTGGTGCATGCATTAGCGTGCTTAGCCCAACTGGTATACTGAATATTGCATAACAGTTATGATGCAATTTCCACGTACTCGTACTATCCACGACGGTGAGGTACAACCGTTAGGTGGAGTAGTGGCCATGCTAAGTTAATATAATAATCTCGTTGCACGGCAGTGATTCCCTCCTTAATGAGAATGATAGTCTGAAATAGGGCAAAAGAACGCGAAATCGGCGTATCCGGAGAAATTCATGCCTCCGAGAAGGGATGCTTCGTTCCGCACGTCCGTCGAGAGTAGGCCACTCCGGAGCCGTCGCATACTGTAATGTCAGCTCGAGATCGCAGTGTTGTGCGCCGCACGCAAAGTGGGCGGGATGACCTGATTTCGACCAACGCGCGGAACGGAAGGATGAGAGTGTTACGGAACAATCTTCATGGGAGAAGTATCTGGACGATATGTTCCGTGTTAGCAAGAGGTGGGTCAAGGTGTCAATTTGCAACCTACAGAGCTTTCGCAACGCATAACACCTCGTTCGCCTTGGATGTGTACGTCGGCCAAGAAGCCGTTTTTGGGGGCCCCTGCTACGCCCTACCATTTTCTAACCTAGAAGCTTCCCTGAGGTACCTTTCCGGGCACAGGTGTTGCATCCAAGGTAGCAGGCAGCAAATGGAATATTTATTAGAGAGTAAACTGAATATAAGTACAAACGAGGGGTTTATATACCCCGATGAGACCACTATTTAGGCGGTAAACGTGATCGTAGTCTCATCAGAACCAATGTCCGATGACCTCCACAACACCTCCTCCCCAAGATGGACGTTCAGGGCGTACGTCTTCTCCTTAGACCATCAATCGCTCTGGGTGGCGTCGTGATCTGGCTCGGCGTTCTCCTGCGATGGCTTGTGGGGACCGTGCTTCGACCGTATTGGTTGGCAGCATCGAGCCTGCTTCTTCCGTTACGTGGGCTGACCTCGACATCGGCAACAGCGGCAGCTCGACGAGTTCTGTTGGTGTCTCTGTAATATTTGGATTACTGCCAATGCGTAGACGTAACTGGTTGACATATCTCTCTCAGATTTGTCCATCGACCGAAATGTCGTAGAGCCTTTTCCGCATTGTTGTACCACTTCATCAGGCGCTTGTTTCGGTGCTCCGGAACGATGGCCCTTGGCCCACACGGAGTCTCCGAAATTGAATTTTTTGTCTGGCGCCGTGATGACGATTATATTGATCCTCCATTTTTCGGTTCCGATTGTTGTAGTTTGTGATCGCGGACGGCTTTAAAAGGCTGAGCTTTGTCCGCAACTGTCTCCCAAGAAACAATTCTGCTGGCGACTTTGCTCCTGGTGCGGAAGGGCAAGGAGATCGACGGTAATTCAGCAGGAACTTTTGTCGAGCTTCTGTCGCTGGTGAATTTTCCTCCATCTTCTTCAAACGTCTCTTGAATGTGTCGGCAAAGCGTCCTGCGTGGCCGTTCGACTGTGGATGAAATGGCGGAGACTTGATGTGTCTGATACCATTCTGGCTGTAGAAATCGTTGAACTCCTTAGACGTGAGTTGCGTTCCATTGTCTGTTACCAGTGTTGCGGATTGCCGAATTGGGCAAAGAAACGGCGTAACTCTCTGATCGTGCAGCTTGTGAATGTTGACGACATTTCCACAATATCCGGCCACTTCGAATATTCGTCGACAATTATGAGGTGCATTTTGCCATCCATAGGCCCTGCAAAGTCAGCGTGTATTCGAATCCATGGTTTGTCCTCCAGTGGCCGTGAGTGAGGCCTTGACTGGGTTTTTAGCAGTTTCCTGGCTATGACAGCATGTTCGCACGAAGTTTTCGATGTCGCTGTTGATGTTCGTCCAGTAGGCATAGTTTCTGGCGAGCATCTTCATACGAGTCAATCCTAGATGTCCGTCGTGGAGTTCGAATATCCTCTGAAACAGAGCTTCCAGATTGGCGACGTGCTCCTCGATATTGCGGCCTGTGACGATAACGTCATCGAGGTAAGCAGCGCAGTCTTCGAGTCCACAAGTCATGGAATCTATGATTTGTTGGAAGATGCCCGGCGCCGATTTGACGCAAAACGGGAGGCGATTGTAGCGGAGTGGTCCTCTGTGCGTATTGATGGTTAACAGCTCCTTCGCCTCGTCCCCGACTTCAATTTGGAGATAAGTATCGGCGAAGTCGATTTGCGTGAATAGTGTGCCCCCATTCAGCTTCGCAAAAACGTTGTCCGGAGTTGGCAGCGGGTGTTGATGTAGCATGAGCGCGCCATTCAATCCAGCAGAAGCACAAAGGCGCAGTGTTTCATTTGATTTCTTGACGACGACGATCGGGGCTGCCCAGGCAGTGTAGTCGACCGGGAAAAGCACTTGTTCTGCAAGCAAGCGGTCGATCTCTTCATCGAGAGCGGTGACGTAGGCATAAGGCACAGGGCGCTTCTTCTTGAAAACAGGATTAGCATCGGGTTTCAGCCGGAGTGTCGCCTTGGTCTTCGTGCATCGTCCGAGTCCTGTCTTGAATACGGTTTGATGACAATCTCTTCCCGGCATGGAGCGGCGGGATCAGCGACGATAGTCACTCCACTGATGTATTTCTGCAGTGGTTCCACTAGTTCAGGGACCTTCTGTATCCACTCCCAGCCGAAAATGCCGAGATTCTCGGTTACGTAGCAAAATCCTTGCCCATGGTGCTGCTTTCCACCTGAGCTCCTCAATACAAAGTCGACCATAAGGTATTCTTCTGCGGGAATTCTGGATCCATTAGCGGCGTTGACGATCGTGTTGAACTTCAGTAGTTGCGGTCTTCCAAGCTTCGTCCAACTCGATTTTGAAATCAGTGTGATCATAGCGCCAGTGTCGAACAGAAGATACAGGAGACGTCCATTCACCCTACTTTCAGGTGTGCATGGGCGTCCTTGCATAAAGCACCCTCGATGCTTTTGATCTGGTAGCTCTTTGCACCTCTACGTCTGGTCCGTGGGCGTGACGGTGGCGTTGATCCCTGGTTCCCAGATCCTGGATCATGAAGTGCATTAGATTCTTCTTTATTCCTTGGTTCTTGTTTCTGCTTGAAAAATCTTCTTTTTCTCCTCCTGCTGACGTAGTTGACGGAAATGCTGGGGTTTGTGGCGTTCTCCAGTATTCTTGCATCTTCCTTGTACGACTTGATGAGTTGACACTCGGCAGTGAGGTCTTTGATTGTGACGTCATCCCCTTGATCCGACTTCCTCAGCAGCCGTGTTCTGTAGTCTGCGAACTCGAAAATCCCGCAACGTAGACGAGCATTGGAGGCCATCGAAGCTGATGGAGTCGAATTTGGCATCGGAGCAACGCGTGCGCACAAGCGTCTCGTAGTTGTTGAAATCCTGGTGGTCGTAGTTGATTTTGAGACATTCGAATCGACGACGGAATAGCGTTTTAGCAGAACCGAATAGGCGATCCATAGTGGCAACGGCTTTATCCCATGACAGGTCTGACGGCGACCTGGGCGCAATCGACCCGCAAAACAGCTGGCGACAGTCTTGGTCCAATCGGCTGATTAGTAGGCGAGTCTTCTCTTGCTCACTCAGCTCCGTACAGTCGTAATCGAAAATGTCCTTGAAGCCTTTGTACCACATATCGAAAGTCCTCCCTTTCCCGGCGTCGAAATTGAGTCTGTCTATGCGACGGCAGAGAGAGTCGAAGATAGAGTGTTTCGCAGCTAAAGGATTCGCTCCACTCATCCGCACCTCCATCCTTTCAAGGGCACGGAGAAAGGAGTCGGAAGTATCCTTCTGCTGCTTCAGCATGTGCTGCAGTGTCTTCTCCTGTTGTTCCATCCAGCCTTGCATCAGGGAGAGGATTTCGGCTAGCTTGTCTATGGGTCCTTGATCCTGATCGCCAGTTGTTGCGTCCGAGGTAGCAAGCAGCAGATGGAATATTTATTAGAGAATAAACTGAATATAACCACAAATGAGGGGTTTATATATCCCAATGAGATCACTATTTAGGCGGTAAGTGATCGTAGTCTCAACAGAACCAATGTCCTATAACCCCTATAACAATAGGTTTATCCTGAGGAGGATTTTCAGAGGCCAATTTCAACGCGAATTGTGCTTTCAAGCGATGATGTTCAACAGAATTGCAATGGCTTGCGACGGGGACGAGTGGATATGTAATTGCTGCTCGATCGAGCAAATCGACGGTAAGCGTTACACCATGCAATCCAGGTGAGGTGGTAGGTTAAGGGGGTGCGGTAGCCATCGCGATATGACAGACGTATAAACTTCAGGTCACACATGGTCTCATGAAATGCAACGCCTGCATTGAGGTCATACATCTTGCAGGAATATATGCTTCTCTAAATTTGCCCGATAGGGTGGAAGGAAATCAAGCATTTGTGTTTGAGGCAATCTTCTCGGTCCAAGATGCAGATATTATTTTGCAGTGCCCTTGCTTCATTTCTCTCATCACAGCTACGGTCCAATCGTTGATTTTTTCACAACGGAGACGCAATTATGAAGGTACTTTATCACCGCTGTGATCGCCACAGACTGCTGAATTCTTTACGTTGCATTTTACTGTCCTCCAGATTTTTGGCCTCAGCTCCCTTTCGATGTGTTTCACAGAGGCGTAGACGCTTTGTGTACCTCGATTCATATACAACGAATGGGCAACCTTTCAAGGTCCTTAGACAAACGTACGTGGAGTTAAGATACTAATTTGTAGATTGAACTATCTGCATTGATCGCGATTTCTAATTACAGCTACTTTCTTTCCAGTCAGTTACTGATAGTTGAGGATTCAAAATGGTGGTTGCGACGATATCTTTTATCAGCCTGCCACAATGCTGATATCGGCATAAGGGAGCATGGGGTAACGGAACTTCTCCCCGGTTGCAGACGTTCACTTTGCGGCGTGCGGCAAATCTTTTTCAGTTGTCTCGCGGCTCCAAACTGCAATTACCTTAATCAGCCCGCCTCCCATCAATCAATAGGACGCAATATTTTTCATTGACTGTCTTCCTTTTTTGTTGGTTTTGATTCTTTTTTCTTTGTTTTTCGTTTTTATGTTAATTAGACTCGATTGCTTGGAATGACTCCTATTATATCGAAGATCAAGACCGCATTGGAATTGAAGAGAGCGGCCAGCGAATTCAGATAATTAACAGACCCCTGAATCACAAATTGCGCGCTCCAATCTTTCATCGCAATTCTGCGACAAGCGGCGGGTGCGGCGAGCGCGATGCCGTGTTCAGGGGGATTGGCCGCTCCTGGCGACTCGCAGTGACTTGGTGAGAAATGTACAGGAAAGTGAAGGGTCTCCCGAGCACTTGTCACGCTCTATCAGCCATATACTATTCAACATTTCACCCACAGTATTGCTCTTCCCTCAAACCCTCCTTATGTACACGAGGAGCCAAGGCGCAGATTAGGATGTGTTGCAGTCTTTGCGACCGTGTAAAACGTTCTGAGCGAAGAGGGAAATCCTTTCTCCTCGATTGGAACGTTTTACACGGTCGCAAAGCTTCCACCTCATCCTTAGCTGCGCCCCAGCCTTGAACATTAGAAATGCAAAGCACAAGGGAGAGCCTTTGTTAATGTATTTCGGGTGAAAGGCCATTTAGCCGCATGGACCAACGCATAGGCTGCTTTCATAGTCCGCCGGCCGGCCGGCGTGCCGGCGTGGAGGCAGTGCTAGCGGGGAGGAGGGAGGCAGACGGATAGGCAAACAGTCCACGCCCCTTCGAGGGGTTGAAAACAAACAACCTTCGAAGGGGCGTGGACTGTTTGCCTTACACTGCCTGCCTCCCTCCTCCCCCCTAGCACTGCCTCCGCCGGCACGCCGTTGTTAGCAGTGTATGGCTGCTTTCATAAACCGCCGGCCGGCCGGCCGGCGGACTATGAAAGCAGCCATACACTGCTAACAACGTTCCATGCCTTCTATGATTCTTATCAGGCTCTGCTACTTCTCATCAGCTAACATCTTGAAGATGAATGGTCATACAATCACAGGATCAGCTACCAATAAACAGCCTTTATCAGAAGCATTCACGTAATCTGAATCCTACTCCCAGTATCCATGTCTTCTACGAGATGGTTGGTAGCATCAGCCACTTGACTTGTTAAGCTACAATTACTCTTCAACTTCAATATCTTCTCGCAAACTAGCCATTGCAATCAGCACTTCACATTTGAGCGCAAAAATGCAGGTAGCCTTTTCCTTCAACCACCATGTCTCTACTCTGCTTTCCTTCCTGTGAAGAAGTACTGCAAATGCAAATACTAGATTATCATCTATCTCACCCTAAAAAGTCGTTCAACACTGCCGAAATTTTCAATTTGAAAAGAATTTGTAAGCAAGATAGGCATACCTCCGAAAAAATACTGAGAAACATCTTTACGCCCAATGTAAATCAAGGAAGTACGGAGTACACACGCAGACAAACACAAGTACACGCACTCACACAAACAGATAAAATTCTACTTACCTCACCAACATCACGCTCGAAATGAGTAACACTCGGAGAAATGAAGTTTATGAAATGCGTCTTGATAGCCTCACCATGGAGCTTATCAAAAGTGCACGTGCACGTGCATGCATGCACGTAAGCGGCCATGTATATATACATACGTAAATATCCTTACCATATATAAAGCGCTTGCGTCTGCCTGCCAGTCTGTATGCACGGAAATTCATAGCTCCTGTTCCCGTGGACCTAGAGCGCCCAAATTTGGTAGGAGCACAAGGGGCAGGATGGTAACACTCATGATAGGCGACAGGACCGCACTTCGCCCACAAGCGGTGGGGTTTGCGAAAAGAAAATGTTTAGTCAACAAGTAGCCCCTGCCCCCGTGGACCTAGAACGTTCAAGTTTGGTAGGAGTTCTGGAGGCAGGATAGGTACTCTGACCATAGATGAAGCCTTTGAGAGCAAGAAACAGTCAGCAATTGAATCCCAATGCCTCTGGTATTTACGATCTAATTTTGACTATTCAATATGTTTCATTCGACAAGTAGGATAAGTGCAAGGATACGGACCAAGGGTACTAAGCTATGCAGAAATTGGTTCACTTCTTGCCTTTAGACTACGACCGCCCTCTATCCATCGCTGCCGACCGTTAGCCCTGCAACTCAATGAGGGGTCACGATTTCTCCTTGCTTCGATATCATTCTTGACAGAACCCATTCAACCGCTTATAATCTTGGATTCTCATCTAATTATATATCCGGAAAATGAGGAAGTTCCATTGTTAAGACATTTGATAATGGTATTGTACTGACTCGACAACATTTGTGAATACAATTCGAGGTTTTGGTTGCCAACCAGTTGATCCTTCAATGGGACATTATTTCTAAGAAGAACGGCAACAGATCGAAACTTCTCATCACAGGCATGAGCATCGACACACTTTGAATATCATTTGCATACCCTATAAGTCCTGTGTCAAATTTCGTGTTCCACAAGCTGTTAACTGTTATCTGTTCCAAACAAGGAGTAGCGGTTTGTCGACCATTACAACTCTGTCGTAAGAAGTAGGGAGCCCGGCGTTAGCTTCGCGACCCGACTTATTTTGGTTCCTCCCATAAGGTGCTATATATGTTGACATTCAAACAAATTTATTGAATCAAGTGGGGGGGGGGAATAAATAAAGTAGTCCAACTTTCGTTGCACGTGCCCTAGACGGAAGTCAGACTAGACAATAGCCTCCCTTCGTGCTCATCAGTAGGGTAGGGGAAAACAAAAGAATGAAACTCGTTATCCTACTTTATATAATCTGCCTGCTTATGTGTTTGTTTGTGTGTGTGTCGGTGTGTGTCCGACTGGAAATGCATAACTCCTGTCTCCATGGACCTAGAATGTTCAAACTTGGGTAGGAGTACGGGGCCAGGATGGGAACACTTTTGACGGGTGGCAGGACCGGAGTCCGTTCACAGAAAGCGAGGCGTGCGCGATAGAAATTTTGGGCCGCAAATTCATAACTCCTGTCCACGTAGACCTAAAGCGTTGAAATTCGATAGGACTACATGTTTTTGTATTAACAGTGGAACCTCGGCATTCTGATAAGTGATGTAGGATAGGGTGACAAAAGTGAAAGGTAAGTGCAGTGATAGGGACTGTTAAGCGGCAATACGTCAAGCAGATGAGAATTTTGTTCATTTCTTGCCACTACGGGGTACGGCAAAAGTTCTGGCAATGGTAAATACCATCGTAAAAATGGTCAAATCGATCGATACATGGTACAAGTGAACAGCATTTATCAACAGCTATATAGATCACAAAAACAAACTAGATCTCAAAATAGCTACCTTTTGCGCGAATACAGGCTAAAAGACTCCTAGGAATTGCGTCGACGGCGGCACGGAGACAGTCTTCGTCCGAATCCTCCCATGCTTCAACGAGGGTTGCACGTAGAGCATCCAAACTTCTATGCTTAGTATGTATGTATGTATGTATGTATGTATGTATGTATGTATGTATGTATGTATGTATGTGTATGTACATAATTATCGTGAACTGTGCCTTAGAGGCACAGTTCACGATAATTTATTAGGCGGGAACGTCCATGCCTTTTCCGCCTCTCGATCCTAAGGGAATCTGGTGCTGTTCGAAGATGGTCTTTGCCGTGCATCCGGCCAGATGGAGGTGCAGGGTGGAGAATCGCTGGTCTTTGCTTGTCACCATTATATAAAATGGCATATCAAGCACGGCCAAATCATGGAATGTATAGATGAGGACTAGCGGTAAATAGTCGTACAGATCCTGTCGAGATCAAAGGCCTCATTTTTTATAGAGGACCCGAAACGGACCCTGGCCAGAACTTTTGCCGCACCCTGTAGATTGAGACCGCTACCCCGCAAATTTTGTAACTTAATGAAGGATCCTCTTTGTTCGATATCCTTTGCGACAAAACCTAACTGACCGCTAGTAATGTCGAATTCCTAAATAATGATATCTTCGTAAAGAGAAGGGCCCATTGATGACGACATCTGATAATGGTGTTTTTGCCGCTCGAAACATTTGTACATGCGGCTTAAGGCATTGGTTGCTTTACAAATGAATCTTTATTGGGTGCTTATTTTTAAAAAAAAAGTGCAAAAGATCGATACTCCCACTTAGAGGCTTAAGCACCGACTTTCACTGAATACCATCTGCGCCGTCCTGTTAGTCTGTGTTAAAGTTCGTGTACAAGAAACTATTATTTGCTTCAAAAAAGGAGTGGAAAAGTAGCCGATTACTACAACGTTGTCAAAAAACGAGGGAAGGCCGGCGTCAGCCGGGCGTACCGACTGGTATATAATAACTCAAAATTTCAAAGAATGCATAAGGACTATAAAGTTGGCGGTGACACGAAAAATACTAGCCTGTATTTTGTGTCCTTTGATGTATTTAAGTTATTGTGGTATTAATTTAACCTGACTAGGATTCAAGTAGTTGCATAACTAATATTACCAGGCGGCTACGCACGCTATCGCGTGCGCTAGGGGCTCTAGCCATGAGTGACGGAGTCACATGAGCTGATTATCATCATAGACCTTCATCGAATTTAAGAGTTCCCGCTCAAACCCTGCCTCCCTGTGGGCGGAGTCTGGTCCAACCACCGACCATAAGTGTCCCATCCTGTCACCTATGCTTCTACAGAATTTGAATGCTCTAGTTGCACTGAGACAGGAACTGTGAATTTTCTCTCAAACCCCACCCGCTGTGGGCGGAGTTTGGTCCTGCCACCCACCATAAATGTTCCCATCCTGTCACCTCTACTCCTACCAAATTTGAACTTTCTAGGTCCATGGAGACAGGAGTTATGAATTTTCGTATATAAAAGTAAGAAGGGATGTGAGCTTTGGGGCACGCTCCGCCCATTGTGAGCTGGCCTCCGCTTACGTCATTTATGCTAGAGACACCTTCGACGATGCTTCCCCCACATCAGCTTTTTCATGCTCTGTTGGCTTTCTCCAAACCGAGTTATAAATGTTTTCATAAAGCATTGCATTTTTGGAGAACGCCCCGCCCATCGGGGGTGGGTCTCCCCACTTCAATCTAACCTGTCAAAGCACATCTCTGGCCACCTTTGAACCCCAGGTTTGAAGCCGTCTTGTGACTGAATTCGAAATCATGGTCCTCAGTACAGCTCATTTCGATGCACGTCACGCCCACTGTGGCGGGGCTCCGTCAAGCTGATGTGTGCAATATACTTTTCCCACGCTTGACACGGTCTCTCCAGGCAGATTCTCTAGACATGGCCCACCCATCCCACGCTTGACCCGGTCTCTCCAGGCAGATCCAAAGGAGCTAAGGAATTTCGTGACAGACATACGGCCAGACAGACAGACGACAGACGAAGCGCTTTATAGTAAGTAGGATCATAGTATGTGTCTAATATTTCAATTAGTTAAGTTTATATCTTAAGCCGTATTTATAGAGTATAAACTTATTTCTGGCTGAGCATTGCTAAGCATTTTATAAGGCCCGTAATAAAATTATCCTTAATGTAACCCATGTGACATGTTTGATATCCCATATACTTTAATCTGTCTAGGAAATCATTTTATGTGCACAAGTTC